AAACTGGGAGTGTGTTGTTTTGATCAGATTCTGGTGTGGTTTGCTCCTGCTGTGTGTGTGTGTGTGTGTGTGTGTGTGTGTGTGTGTGTATCTATAAAATGTCAGCTTCTCTTTGGGATTACAACTAGATGTTAGAGCTGAAGCTTGTGCTTTTCTTCCACCAGCTTTTCTAGGCCCTTCCTTCCTTTTATTCTACTTCAATATGTCGTCCTTGCCCATGACTATTTTTCAGAATGAATTTCCCAGGTATGTAAACAACTGTCTCAGGGGCATTTGGCATCTAGATCTGGAGGTCATGTGTTGACTGTTGGATGATGGGCTGTTCAGAGGACATGCTAGTTCAAGCTAGTGTCTTTCCAGTAAAAGTATAAAGGGAAGCAGGGTGAAGGTAGGGGATCACAGTTCATTTTTTTATACCATTAAATTGAGTTCTTTTAAGGAATCGTCAGTACATGTCATTGAAAAACCTATATTTCCTTCTGGTCCTTGACAGGACCATAAAGTTGATTTCTGTCCTTATTGCTTTCCTAGTAACACCCAGGCTGATTATCTTTTGCCTGCTATTCAACTATCAGAAACAGACAGTTAATATGAATATCTCCACAGAATGACTATATATAGCTTTCTTAATGGCACCAATGATCCTATTTCCATAACGTTTACGTTGGTAGCAAGAAAAAAGGAGGGGGAAGAATGCCTGGAGTGTCACCAACTAGATGCAAGGGGAAAAAAGGATGCCTAGGAATAAATGAACCAAGCTGCTGTCTAAGGTACCGAAACATAACGCAGTGAGGAGTAAATAGGCACAGCAGAATGATAACTATCACTTGCATTGATTCTGGTAATCTTAAAAAAAAAAAAGAGAGCAATTGTAGAAACTGGGGCATTATGGATGGGAAAGTCACAACCTCCTGGCAGCATAATTACTTTGCAATGTCTTACAATTACTTCCCAGCATCATGGTGGGACAGGAAACTGTTTACTTTGGGGACTCAGTAATGTTGCTTAATTTGGGGTTAAGCTGTTCATTGATTTACAAAATGATCATGGAGAGAAGCCCTAGAACGTCACATTAGTGCCCCCAATTTTCTTCCTACCAATTCTATTACTAATTACAGATTCCCGTTTGGCTGACTTTAGTGTTTTGTCATTAAATGCCCCCCACCCCATCGCCACCACCACCATTTTCAGCGATTCCTGGCTATGTTGCATTCCAGTGTGCCCCAAAGAGGTGGAGACCAAACATAGCTGGTTAATTAACTTGAACCTCAGAGATTACATTTTGTTCTTGTGTAATACTTTGCCCTGGAGAATATTAAACATTATCTTCATATTCACCAATACAGTGACTAAGATACTGACTGGTTAAGTTACTTAGAACAAAGTAGAACTAGTTTATTTCTGATCTCTAATCTTTTCTTTCTAGCTCAAATATTCTTCTCTTACTTGATAGCTTGTTATGACTACACCAAGTAGGAGAGGGGAAAAAACTCCTATCTTTAATGTAGTTTCTTTTTTCCACTATTATTTCCATTTTTTCTGCTCCTTTCTGCCTGCTGCAGGAGAATATTGCTGTGCCATCTCTCTATCTCTGTCAAGGTCAGAAAATTAGTGGAGTTCTCAGATGCAACTGCTCTTGCTGTATTCTAGACAGTACTGAACAGCCCTACAGATGTGGTGAGATTATGAAGTTAACGTCTCATGAGGATGACAAGAACAGGTGAGAAGCAATTTATGAAAACGTATAGGTAAAGAACAAAAGATGGTATCTTTAAGACAACGATACCAGTTTCCATCTGAACTTTGACCTAAGGAAGAAAGGGCCCCGGTCTGATTTGGGCTACCAGCTGGAGCTATGTCCTGAAATTCCACTGAGATAAGTGGACCTAATGTATCACAGTACACCCCTGACTTTACAGTACATAATATGGCTTAAGCAATCCATTGTGGCATTTCTGTGTCTGCCCTACTGGTGTCTAGAAGTTCTAGAGAAAAGCAGCATTATTGGATTTGTCACTGAGTTATCAGAAAGATTAGAGTAGAGAATTCCACCACTGGGAAAGCCATGCAGAATGGACCTAAATTTTAGTTTAGCTATCCAGTGCTGGAGTGACTTAGTGTTTTCCAAGTACAGCCAATTTTTGAAGGGGCAACTCAACCTCTTCCACCCAACAAACCTTGGAACAAGGAGGGAAGAAGAAAGTTTTGATAGTCATTTCTTCTCCTAGCCCCAATACCCAAGACATGAAGGGGTTGCTAATGAGCAGTGGCATACCAGAAAATGGAATCTGGAAAAAAGAGAAACAAAAAGCCTGAATGACTTGCACACTGGATTTTTAGTACCTAAGTCATCAAGACTTGTCTGTACTTGTACGAGAACATGCAGTTTCCAAACAGATATCTTTAATGTTAGTATATGGAAACTATCTTCCAATGGGACCAGGACAGTATTAGTATGCAGATCAGAACACTCATCTTCTGAAGAGCCTTTTACTTGGCATGGATGAAAAATCATGCTTCTCTATTGCACTACAATAGGCTCAATTTATGCTTAAAATGCCCTTGTGTTTCCAGAGTACCCATGGCTACTAACACTGGAAGCAACCCAAATCACCCCCTAAACTAGAAGGTGTTTCAAATTTGTGTTGTTCAGTGCCTGCACGGGTCTCTCACTGGTCAAAGGTCATGTAAAGCATGAACACTTATGCACAGACTGACTGAGAAGTGATAGTCTGTGTATAATTTTTTGGGGGTGGAGCAGGGGTATCATAATTTTACATGCAATATCTGAAATTAATATGAAACTGGATCCTTGTACACACAGACATGTTGGGAGGGGGTTGCATTAGCAATGAAAGGGTTAAATTGAGATCCAGTAGCTGAGGACTATGGTTTTGGAGTCCAGATTGGGCAAGTAGATTTCTACAATTATCAGCCACTGTTTGGTGAAATATGATGAAAATCACAAAGTAACTCCATGGTTATTTCATCTGTTTAAACATCTACTTTTATGTTCTGCTGAATTTTCATTGAAAATAGCAACAAACATTGCTCTAGGAACATCAAAGAAATAGATGCATGAGATACAACAGGGACCTAAGATTTCCTTAGTGTGGGAACTCCCTTCATAGATCCTACTGGCAATCCATCTGTAATTTTATAGATTTAAGGTGCTGCCTGAGAAGCAAAGAAATTAAATGACTTGCCCAGGGTCACACAACTAGTGTCAGAGATGGAATTTGAACCCAGGTCTCCCTTACTCCAAGCCCAGTGCACTATCTACCATAGTAGATAGGTGCTGCATTTCCTGGTACAAAGTGATAGTGGTAAGAATAGAGATTAAAAAATAAACAAACCCAGCAACAAGTTTGGTATCTGTGATATGCAAATCAAGTAACAGACAATGCTAAAAGGAATCTTAAACAGGAAATCTGGAAATGCTCTTGGATAGTTAGAGGAAGAGATCAGGCTACAGACCAGGGTTTCCTCCAAGAGATGCCCTGGACTATATAAATTTCCACCTATGTCAACTGAACACTTCCTTAAAAGATTTTAGAAGACCATACCCAGTGTGACAGAAATAGACTGAAGCAAATTTCTGTAGCTGGCTGCATTACATAACTTACGTTAGAGTGGTAACAATTTATCAGAACCCAGCAGAACTGCTATCCACTGAAGGATAGCATTCTTTTGCTTGAATTTAAACAGATGAAATATGCCATATAGTAATAAAAAAAACCCCTCAGAATTAAAGCAGCAAATTACAAGATTATTTTCATTGGGCAAAATCTGAAGTAGTCAGATTTGGGTGAGGTAAAAGGTTTAGGGATTGACGTTACCGTTCAGGGCAGTGGGCTTGATCAGGGCTTTCTAGCAGTCTTTCTAGCAGTTCTAAAGTCCCCTTTAAAGTATTCAGTTGTGCAAGACACATGATTTTGGGGGTGAAGGCAGCAGAAACAGATACTCATTGTTTGCTGTTAGTGAACACTCACCTAAATTTTTTCTCAAAGAACTTCCTTTTTGAGCCACCTTCCTTTTCCTAAACCTACTGTCTTATAATGATCTTTACTTCACTTATGAGCTGCTGCATGCACCTCTCATCATAAATGCTGTCAATGTCACAGAATCTGAGATGAGGAAACCTTTTATTACTCAGCTAGCTTAGGAAACTTGAGGTGGGGTAGGCACAAGATCAGTGAGACTTCCCATCTGAAACTCAAGCTGAGCCATGACACCATAAATATCTGTGGTGTACTCATCATCGCATAATACCAATGAATCTCAGATTGTTTGGATAGCAGAATAAAACTCTACCAAAGCAGCTATTTTCAGAACACCATTTTTAGCTCCAGAAAGCCAATATTTTTGAGTTGGCACTCAACTCATAACAGGCACTGTACATACCTATGGCAAAAGCAACCTGTAAGGTTTGGAAGGGGACCTATGCCCACAAAGAAAGAATAGTTGATGGAAAGTGATGCCTGAACAGGACACATCACCCAATGGAAAAGGAATGGCTTAAATTTAGGGGCACATGGGCAGGAATTGGTTGGTTGGTTTTTTATAAATAATTATTGATATTAGATTGGAAAAATCTGTCTTACATGACCTCATTTACCATGCACTAGGTTTTATGACCTATGTAAGGGATAAGAGCTTTGATGCCCTATGACTGTATCTCTGTTTTGGCAAATTGTGAGCTTCTTTCTTCTACCTTTGTCATATAGAAAGACCTTCTTAGATTAGAGAAAAAGAGCAGAACACAGTGGTAGATGAGGCCCTTAGTTGTGAATAAGACAAAGCCCAAGGCTGATATTCAGTGGAGTAGAATATTTCCCTCTAGCTGCTTCTCCACTGGCTCCTTTAGTTTCTCTCTCTCTCTCTCCTTCTTCTTCCTTTCCTTCTCCCTCTCTTTATTCCCTCCCCCCACAACAATTGAAGACCTGAGATTGAGCATGGATTTCTGTTCTCCACCAAACACTGCAACAAAGGCCCTGTCAAATGTTTGGTTTCCTTTCATTTCTCTTTCCCTCTTCCACATATAGGCACCTAAACAGAGATTCGATTTCTGATTTCAAGGCATATCGAACCAAGCACTCTGAATGAACATGAGTTTGTTAATTAGTTCAATCTTATTCTTTATGTCCACTCAGCCTGAATGTTCCTGTGATGACAGAAAGACCGGGAGAAAGTTGACTTGCATCTTAAGACCTGTCGGCAATTCTTCCTGTGTGGGGAGTTTTATTTAGCAGCTGCTTGAGCTTGTGTAAGGGGTGGGAAAAGAAGTGGAGCTGACCCCAATAGGGCTGTCGGAGAGTGGCGTGTGGGGGGTCCCCACTGCCACACTCACTCCCCGAGCCTCGATGACGGCTGAGAGGAGTTGTTGCTGCTGCTGACGAAGGGTGTCCGCAATGAGCAAGGGAAGGGAATTGAAGCTGGCAGTGAGTTGTTCTAGTTTAGACTCCAGACTGCCAATTTGTTTTTCCAAGTCCTCACTCCGGTCGTTCAGCTCTGTGATTAAGTCATACATGACATTCTGCATCTGTGGGGTAAAAAAGAATACAGACCAGGTTATCATGGGAACATAAGCAGGGGGAGAACCAATTACAATGAGCTTAGAGCAGGACAACCTGTAATGATGACTCATATTCTCTCAGACCAAGGAAAGGCGGAAAAGCTTAAAGGTTGGATTTGTTGGCCTTTGAGGTTCCCTTCCAGCTCTAAATCTGTGATCTTGTATCCAGAAGTAGAGCCTTGAATAGGTGCCCACCATAGACTGACTCTCCAGGCAATCTCAATACTATTAGTCCATCAAACCTTCCAAATGATGAGGCTGGTGTCTTTTAAGGGAGTGAAGCCACATGCTGCTAAGGAAGTGCAAGGTCACTTCCTTGGGCTTGGGTAAGAGTTTTTGACTGATTAGGAGAGAGCCTATGATGCTTCTGTTTATCCAAAGTTTTTTTTTTTTTTTTCTAAATTTGCGAACAAAATAGTTCTGCAAGGATCTTTCCACAAAGTCCTATTAGGATAGGAAAAGAGATCACTCATAAAAGGGGTGGGAGGAAGCAGAACTAACAGATGGCAAGGGAAGCAAAGGAAATGGAAAATAAATTAAGAGGAAAAATGGTAGTGGTGGTGGAGAAGTAGTCAAAAGAGAGCTAAGGGACCAGTTCTGGGGGAAAGGAGATAGAAAATGCAGGGATGCCTACCAAAGTGACTCACTGCCAAAGTGGGGAATTCATTGTGTGCATTAAACCAAATCCTCCACTGACAGAGAGTGTAGCCCTGTTCCATTATCTGTGTATCTGGGGAAACCATAATTTTGCTAAGTAAATGTACAACTTGTATATAATGTTTGTCCTCAAAATCTATACCAAAAAAATCACAAAATCTCAGAACTGGAAAGGGCCTCCAAAATCATTTAATCCAGCCATCAGTGGAGTATGGTGGAATAAGTATTTGGCTCTGGAGTCAAAGTTCCTGGGTTCTAATAACATCTGTCACTCACCACTTATATGACCTTGGGTAAGTCACTTAATCTCTTTGAGCGTCAATTTCCTTAATTATAAACTGGGGGGGGGGTTGGATTAGAAAGCTTTAATGGATCTTTTCCAGCTCTAGATGTAAGAAGTAGGAAGTCCCTTCTGTAAAGTAGTCATCCACACTGTTTGAAATCTCTAGGGATGGGGAATTCCCTACTTCTTAAAGCAGTCAATTCTACTTTTCAACAGTTCTAATGATATAGGAAAGATGTGTCATACACATAGCTGAAGGGCCACATTACCACAGCAACACTCCTGAGTGAGCCAGAACTAAATTAAAATATAATTGGGAAATATTTTTAAAAATATATAAAAATACAATGGAATATAGATAGTGTCAATATGTGGTTTTCTAAGTCAATATGTGGTTCCTTGTGTATAGTTCATTGGCTCCTCTTTCTATTTGAGTTTGCCATCGCTGCTCTAGGAATTTGTCCTTCGAGTAGAAAACAGCTACTCTTCATCTTCCACCTGTGGCTCCTAGTTCAACCTGCTGGGGCCAAATAGGGCAAGTGTGAACCCTGTCCTTCAAGACAGCTCTTCAAATACTTGAAGACAGCTGTGATGTCCTCCCTACCACCACTCATAAAGGTTTCCTCTTCACAGGGTTCTTTTAGCTGATTTTCCTATGCCATGGTTTCCAAACTCCTCACCCATGCTGGTCACTCTCCTCCTTCAGCCTCACTCCAACTTCTCCTCCCTAAAATGTGGGGCTCAAAACAGAACGCTCCAGATGTAAAAGGCAGTGTGGCAGAGTGGAAAGAATCCTGGACTTGGAGTCAGAGGACCTGAGTTTGAATGCTGGCTCTACCACTTATTACCTATGTAATCCTGGGCAAGGTGCCTCAGTTTCCTCCTCTGTAAAATGACTGTGTTGGTTTACATGACCTCTAGAGTCTTTCTTTCAGCTCTGAATCTGTGATCCTGTGTGATCTGACTAGGACCAAGGACAGCAGGCCTATTGCTGCCCCATTCCAGGGGCTCTACCTTTGTTAATGCTGCCTAAGAAGCGCAAGATCACTTTTTTTTTTTGGCTGCAGTGTCATGCCAATGACCATGTCAAAATGATGATTCGGTGAAGTGATAGCCATTCCTTCAAGGATCAGTATTCACAGAGCACCCTCCAGGGACATGCACACAAACCCCTCCCACTTCATTGAACAGAAGGGGAGGCCTGTTTGTGAGGCAGCTATAAAAAGTAGTCAGAACATTTTGGATCCTGCTGTTCTTCCCCCCCCCTTCCCCTCCCCCCCATTTCAACAGGTTCTTCCTTTTCAAGGAACCAAAGGAGAAAAAAAAGATAAATGGAGAGTGAACACACACATACATACACGTACACACACACACACACACACACACACACACACACACACCAAGGCAATGACTATGCTATCATCTCCTGTTCGTTGCCTGGTGACAGGATTCCAGGAGAAACACAGCCCAATGTGGGATATGCTAGGAGACTGCCAGTGCCTTTAATTCCCCCCAGAGAGGAAAAGAAAAAGACTGGCAGCATGTCCGTGTTTACTTCTTCTTCCTACTTTACAGCAGCCCACCATGAAGGTCATTTTCCTAGAATGCTTTCCTTCCCTTCAGGTAATAATATGGTCCCCAAATTGTTTCCATTCCAGGCTCCATGAGGGATAGATGAGACTTTCTGTTGCACCTGATATTTTTGCTTCACACAGCCTGCTATATGTTGGTTTCTGTCTCTGGGAGATGCACCAGGGGCAGGGTCACAGAAACCTCAGAATGCAGTTACCTGGCTTAAATTAGTACCAGAAAATGCTTCCTCTTGGTAGCATAATTTAGGCTGGTATGGATATATATTGTGCTTGGTGTGAGGTGAGGTGGGAAACACTTCTCCTTTACAGGAGCAATCCTAAGCCAGTGACACTAAATGTGATCTTTCTTTCCACCCTAGCAATAGCTTTTCCCTTGATGGACTCCTAAAAAACAACTTGAAAACTCCACATTTCACCCAAATGTTCCAAGAGTAATGACAGTCTCTCTATGCTTGTTCCAAACTGTGCCAACCCACTTAGCCACTTGATTGTAATTTCCACATCAGGTTAGGGAATCCTTTCTTTGACACAATCCTTTCATTGTACCCTGTGCCTGTGGATGGCCAAATAACCAATAATTTGCACTGATTGTACCACGTTCTCAATGGGGCTTAATTTGTGTGAGGGAGTTGCTTTTCTCCTTGGGCTCACCAAAGAAGTGTGTTCCATTATGATAATGAATGTCTGCCTGCATGTTCTACTAGGCTGGCCCTGGGCTTTGTACTTTACATATGATTTCGATCAAGTAGCAATGAAGAGAACTTGATGAGGGGGAGGTCCCTTTCTTCAATAGACACCTACGCGTCATGATTACTGATGTGCTCTCTGCTGCTGGTAACAATGACCTTTCACGCCTTAACTTCAGGGATTTTGAGGAGAAGTGAAATTCTTAAGCTTATTAATGTGCCTCCCAGAAAAGTGCCGAAAGGAATGCTTTAGTATAACAGTGGAATGGCATAGTTATTGTTGTTATTGAGTTGCTTTAGATGTGTCTGACTCTCTGTGACCCCATTTGAGGTTTTCCTGGCAGAGATACTGAAGTAGTTTGCCATTTCCTTCTTCAGCTCATTTTACAGATGAGGACACTGAGGCAAAAAGGGTTAAGTGACTTGCCCAGGGTCATACAACCAGTAAGTGCCTGAGGCCAGATTTGAACTCAGGAAGATGAGTCTTCTTGACTTCAGCCCCAAAGCTCTATCCACTGTATCACTTAGTTGCCTGAAGAGGCATAGAGAAATGCCTAAATCATAACAGCAAGCTATAAAAGCCCACATAGTTTCAAAGGAGAGCTTTCTCGTTGGACTTTTTCTTGGACTTTGTATCTCTCTCCCTCTTTTGGAGAGCCAGAGTAATCAAGTCACAGAATCCAAGAATCTCAGAGTTAGGGAAGGGATGTCATGGTCATCCAGTTCCCCTCTACCTGGACAATGTATCTATCCCTTTTGTAACATCCCCAGTGGCGCCTACCTGAAGAACTTTAGTGGCAGGAATAGGGCAACTCATTCTATTGTAAGGCAGCTTTGTTGGTTAGAAAGGCTTTTCCTTATAGTGAGCAAATATATCTACTTGTTACTTCTCCCAACTGGACCTACTTTTGCTCTCTGGACCTGAGGAGAATGTCTAAGACTCATTTTGTCTTCATATAACAGCTCTTCAGATATCAGAGGACAGTACTTATATCCTCTCCCTCCCTCCTTTTCTCCACTTTATGCATCTCTATATATGTTTCTTTTTCCCACATTTACTTCTGCTAGCCTTAAGTTGACCTGGTCTTCAGTCCATCCTGGTCATTCTCCTCTGGACAGTGCATCTCTAGAAATGTATCCTTATCCCCATATTTCCATAGGAGGAAAATGGGAAGGTTTGAAAATAGAGAAGGAATCACTGAATTGAGCTACAAATTGAACATCTTCAAATCAGTCACTGATTATAGCAATAGAGAGGTAGCATGTTGTAGTAGACAGAGGGCCAGCCTTAGAGTCAGATCTTACTTGAGCTCCCATGAATTTAATTACCATTTCTATGTTGATGATTCTCCAGTCTACCTATCCTGCTCCAATCTCTCTGCTTCCAATCTCATATCTCCAGCTGCTTTTCAGACACCTCAAACTGGATATCCAGTAGACATCTTAAACTAAAAGTGTCCAAAATGGAACTCATTGTCTTTTCCCCAAACCCTACTTCCTTCCTACCTTCCCTATTAGTGTAGAGGACAACACTATCCTCCCAGTCCCTCAGGCTTGCAATCTAGGAGTCATTCTAGATTCCTCCATACTCTCCCCTCCTTCCAATCTGTTGCCAAGGCCTGTTGATTTCACCATTGCAACATTTCTTGAATATGTCCCCTTCTCTCCTCTGACACTTCCACAATTCTAGTGCAGGCTCTCATTATCTCAAGCCTATATTATTGTAATAGCCTGCTGGTAGGTCTACCTGCCTCATATCTCAAATATCATCTTTCCAAGTAGGAATTTAAACAGTTCAACTTTAATAAGTCCCTTATGATTTCTCTTTCCTATTTGCCTCTTTATGTTTCTCTTGAGTCTTGTATTTGAAAGTCAAATTTTCTATTCAGCTTTGTTTTTTTCATCCAGAATGCTTGAAAGTTCTCTATTTCACTGAATGTCCATTTTTTCTCCTGAAGGATTATACTCAATTTTGCTGGGTAGGTGATTCTTGATTGTAATCCTATCTCCTT